AMYYMAAATCACAAATTTATAAAGATAATTTATAAGATTTTATAATAATAAACAAATAGACTACTTTCACCTTTCAAGTATTTTATTKAATTTAACAATTAATATTAATTTATAGACTCATTCGCATTCAATAAAATCAATAAATATTAAAAATAATAAKAAAAACAATAGTATATTATACAATAATATATAAAAACTTATTAAAACTTGAAACAAAAGTGAGGGATTAAATTAATATATGCGACAATAGAAAAAATGCTTTCTAATAATTAATATTGAATAATAAAAATTCTGCAGTTGTTAAAAAATATATATTTTTTATTTCTATATAAGGTGAGGGTAAAAATATTTTTTACAGTTAATTATTAAAGCAGGAATAAAATACATAATAAAATAAAAACAAAATAAATATCTCTACAAACGAATTACAAAACTATGATATAAACGAAAATTCGAAATTTCAATTTAGAGAGGCTAGAGAATAAACATACCTCGGTTAAATTAATGACTGGGCCGATTTTTTTTTTATGAATATTATAATAATAATGGTATCTGTGCATGATTTCTTTCWAATCGACTTAATTCGCAAAATTTTATTTCGAGCACTGAACTGGAGGTGAATAAAATAAATATTATTTATGATGAATAATTTACTACATAATATTATATTATTTTTATTACTTTAAAAAAAAAATTGCTTGCCGAAGAAACAAATGCGTTGTGAGATGTTTGCACCATATAATATTGATGATATTTCTTGTTTCATTATCTTCTCGGTGCGGTACAATAATTAATGTACAATTAGAGATGATAGATATAGATATAGACGGTGCAGTACTGCAGTAGGGTACGAATTGTGCATTAGGAAATATAAAATTTGCAGTTGATTTAACAAATAATAGTGCAATTATTGATGATCTTTATCATTTTGATTTAGAAATGTATTAGTGTATAAGTAGTATTACTTAATACTTTCATTTTTTATATCAAAAATACTAAACATATTGATACTATGATATATTAATATATTTTAATTTATAATATGCACTATGCAGATTAACTGTCTTAACTCTTCAACACTTTACACACAAAACTCAATAGTAAAATAATAAATAATATATATTATAATGATATATTACATACAAGTACAACATACCGCAGGATATGAACTAAATAAAATAATGATGAGTGATAACTGGTTTATGGTTACAACTTACAATGTACAATTAATGTAAACTATAAATAAAACATCATTGTGTATTATTTTTTACTGCGGCTATGGGAGTGCAGGCGGCACGGGTGTGCAGCAATCAACACAATCATTGTACTGACCTAGTATTTCCAAATTAATATAATTTTATATATTTTGATTGATTTATTCGACGGACGATAAAACAAATCAATATAGGACAGTATTCCAACTTATAATTTTAGTTTACGCATAAAATATCATKTAAAATATTATACAAATTTATAATATAAAAATTATGATGTGTTATATTTCTTGTTTTTTAAGAATATATGAAAATAAAACTACAACATTTTTATATTTGCAAGAATGTTTAGGGGGCTAAGCCCTCTCAAGCCCCCTCCCCGATTACAACCAATAAGTTCCTCCACTGAAGGGTTTCATGATATTTATTCTGTGAATCATGTATTTATTTTTTTTCATTACATTCAATTATTATTGTTCTACATTTATTTTATTCGTATAAATTGTGTTAAAAATATTTAAAGTTTATCCATTACCATTTACCATAATTTATAAATGTATAATCATTATCAATCTTAGATCATATATTATATTATTATATTGATATATTATATCATGTTCTATGAATCTATGAATCTATGATCGTATACTCGTATACTAGTTTGTTCTTTGCTAGTATAGTACTAAGTTATCAACGATCTTGACGAAAAAACACGATTAGAAATACGAAGGAGCTTTAAAATTGCCTATGTTAAGCCCCTTTTAAAGAATAAATAACGTAGGTAGTCAAAAATTTGATAAATACCAAATAATCAACAATCYAATGATAACAGCATAAGTAACGCTCTTTCGTATCATCAGTCATTAATTCATTATAATAATTGTGCCGGTGCGAGTGCCGCAAGTTGTGTCTGTGCTGTTTTACTCTAGTGTCGTGAAGTCGTGCTTGTATCGTCGTCTGTCTTGTTAGGTTAGCACAGCACCGCGGTATTGTAGTGGGTTGTTCACGGATTCGCGTCGGATGTGTAAGTAGTATTTTCATCAAAAACATGTTGTCGATTGCCAGTTCATTCGAAAGCATCCACAAGAGACAAATTCTTTCAACGGATATTGATTATTACAACAAATATGTATGTACTAGTTCTGCAGATGGTGTTATTCAAATTATTGATAGTGATAATCCAGACTTATATTCAACTGTACAATTACAAGAACATGTTGGGCCTGTATGGCAAGTGATGTTTTCACATCCAAAATTTGGATTTTTAGCTTCGTGTGGATCAGATTGTAAATTAATTATACGTAAAACTAATTATGAAGGTGATTGGAAGGTTGTTTATCAATATGACGGGCACAAATCATCAACAACTTCTATAGATTGGGCGCCATATAAATCTGGAGCTATCATAGCTTGTTCAAGTGCTGATGGAAGTATTTCAATACATACTTTAAATAATAATGAATGGTCTGTATCAAAGATTCCGTATGCTCATTCAAATGGCGTTAACTGCATCAGTTGGTCCAACGAATTATTAAATAATAATTTGCTATTAGTTAGCGGAGGAAATGATAATAAAATCAAAATATGGGAAGGTCAAATAGGTTTATGGAATGTTATATATGAATCAGACAATCAATTATCTACTATCAAAGACTTAAGTTGGAGTCCAACTCCTGGTCTGTACAAATATGTGTTTGCTAGCTGTGCCTCGAATGGTAGAGTATTTGTATGGGGGAGTGATGATTATCGTGATTGGGTACAAACAGAAATTGATCCAGAAAACTTGCAAAAACAAAAAATTAGTTTTTCTCGTTTTGGAACTGTGTTGTCTGTTACAATGAACAGTTATGCTGTACAACTTTGGAAACAGATTGATAAACAAACTTGGTTATGTATGGACAGGAGTATTTCAGACAAAAAAACATTGGATCGTCAACACAAAAATATTAATCAAGATATATTTGCTTCTATTGTTTAGTGGATTGTATTTTTAATACATTAATTTATATTTGAAAATGAATACAATTTAAACATTATTCTTGACGTAATTCACTATGACTGCTGTTTTTGTTTTGTTAAAAAAATTATAATTTTGTATTCAGTAATAAAATAATATTTTGAACAAATATAAATAGGTATTTTATAAGTTAATTAATTAAAATCAGTGTTTTTGAAATTTTTTTTTTCATTTTAAATAATGTAAACTATGCATAATGAATATTCAAATCTCTTGAAAATATAATTGTTAATTAAATTTATCATACTTAAATGTTTTTATATAAAAATTAAAATAGTGATAATAATGTTTAAATGATTAATAATTTTTAAAATATGTCGTAATCAATCAATAATAAGGTTTTTAATTTATTTTAAATGTTTAAACTTGTTTTTTTAATAAATAAAACAGTATTTTAAATTCTAATTTTAAGTTTCATAATCGATACCTAGTGCTTTTAGTAATCCTAAAAATATATCTAAAWAGCATGTTATTGGTTTAATAAATCAGCTAAGTATACAATAAGGCATAAATATAATAAACAACATGGTATGATCGTAAATATCTTAGATTTTATATAACTAATGTATATATTATAATAATATATATAATAGATGCAGTTTGCACGATGTATAAATTAAAATTACATAATATGTGATGTATAATTTTATGTTAAGTGTTAGAGTGTTACAACAACATATATTATATCTGTGATATACTGATGCCTAGGAACCTTGGAGAAATTATTCTTACTAATTAATAAATTTATCCCTTTTACAGTTACTATCATTAATATTTATTCACTAAAAAAACATGCAGTTCATACTTTTATAGTTACCTATATGGTTATATTATGTATGTATGGCTGTATGAGAATTGAAGTAGGTTATATTAGTAGCTTGCAGCTTTTAAGTTTAAATATTATAAGGAATCCAAGAACTAAAAGCTTCTATACTGAACACTTAAAAAAAATCACACTTCATACTGAAAATCTACACTTATTTAAATGAAATATACTATTCTTTTTCATAATTAAATCACAATTATTGTAATGGCAGGTATATGATTTATATTATTTACGGATAATGATAATTATAATATAGATATAAAATAATGGTTCTTATAAATATTATAAGCACGTATCTTAGATAAAAATTTAACTAAGTACCATGAGTCATACACTCAACAAATACTAACACCTAATCATCATACTAACAACTATCATATTTTATCTTTGTTCAACAAAAAAAAATAATTAATAATAAAATACATTTTAATAAGTTAACTATGTTTTTAATCATRATTTTAAGATAAAGTAAAAAAACAAGAATGTATAAAAACTGACTACACAAAATTTACTCCTACCTCAGTATAGAACTATAATTTCAATAAATACAATAAAATACTCATTAGATACCYAACTGAAGAAACCTACAGATTCTTGTATTTATTCCACATTTAAGCAATGATAAAATTGTGGATTCAAGAAAATTCTGCAGACAGCAGACTTCAGAGAGTTAGTGGTAACGGAAGGCTGAACTACTAAAGAAAATTAATTTAATTTCTAAGCCATGTAGTGAACTTAAAATGCACTATGCCTGTATGATGAGAATAACAAAATATTTTTCAATATGAAATATGGATGAGTTAAAATTGAACCTATTTGAAATCTTACCAAATAGGTACCATTAAAAAAAGATTAATTTATTAAAGATTCACTAAAATAGTAAAATGTAATGATTGCAAAGGGAACAACAATTCATGTTTAAGCGACCATTATTAGTTACCAATCGTTTTTACTAATTCACTATTTACTATTTTTTTCTAATATTTTTATAGTCTCATTAGGATTAGCTAGGAAAAGTATAATTGTTAAATTGTATAATACAAATATAGGTATTATGTATAACGATATAAATCGTGTATTGAATATTTGTATGACACTTTGACAATCTATTCTGTAGACAACATACAGACCAAATACTATAAATGAGTATAGTATAATATTAGTATGGTATTTGTACAGACTAATCTAAGACCAGTAAGACCGCTAAAACCGTGCATTAATAATATTATGCATAATGTATTATATTTTTATCTCTACAGTTYTACACCTTAGATAATAAGGGGAAATTTTCGGACTATTGTCGAGCTTACCTTATGTCGGTGCGCTGGGAATCACGACAAAACGTCAACTCCATGTTTCTAACGTTAGTTACGTAAATATTAATTTTGTAGGTTATACCGCCGATTTTTGTTTTCGTTGTGATTACGCCCGCTTAAATGGTTGAAATGTAAATGTCCTATTGGCAATATTTGCTATTATTTTCGTTATTTCCTTGATTTTTTAGATAAACAATAAACAGAGTAACATACTAAGATCACATCAGTAAGATCGTCATTTACCGTAGGACTAGGACGCTGACATTGGTAAATGGTAATTCCGTTTCGGAAAAAACGAAACTTTTTAAGTTTTAACTGTATTCATTAAATTACGTTGAGTGATTCGTTCAAAACATAATTGATTAATAAATAGACTATATCAACCGCCTAGAAGATTCTGCTTTCAATTATATCTCTAACAATCGGAATCGATAACAAAATATTTAGTTCTATTCCACTTTTGATCTGACCGTATTATTTTATAATATTATGTCGAGCTTGGTACGGAGATAATTATATCTACATTCTACATCAAACGACGCCCCTAGGATATACAGTCAGAGTCATGGACCGTCCGATTTTGGTGAATGAATTTGAAGAGATGGGAATGACCATACCGGACGACATAATTGACGAATGTAAGTAATTATTTAAAAAAAAAAAAAGGAATATCATAACCTACCATTACCTTTTGACATTAAAGTCATTAGTTTTTTTAAACGTTTTTTGATCTATTGTCTATGCCAAATGTATAATGAATAGTATAAATATTGAAATATAATAAGTCACTACAAGAATAATGTTGATGAAGATGGAATTGTTACTACTTTTTTTATGGTACCTTCTCGTAGTTGTATTTTTAAATGAAATAGGTACCTATAATAATTTTGACTGATAACTAATAAACAAAAATTTATCCAGTCCATTACCTGTTTAGTGTTTTTTAAATAGATAAAAGATAAAACCTTTATACATTTAAGTATTTTAGTAGTACTTTATTAGGTACAAATTCGTTATATGATGCGACACCATATACAATTGGGTAGAACCTATTTATTATTAATTAATAATTAAAATACAGTGCAGTAGTAAGAAATATTGTACTAGTAAATAGGTTTAACTTCTACTAGTTGATTCAATTATCATAAATCATAATTTTTAGACATAAATTTAAATTTTGTCACATATCAACTTGGTGATGTTAACCTAAAATCATAATAAACATTCTTTTCACTTTATCAGTATTGGAAAGGTATTAATTGTGTGTTTTAATATAATTTATTCATATATTTTTTTTATACTTACCACTTATGTAATATAGAATTGTTTCTGGGCCAGTCAGACATATCACTTATAAAATTAAATTTAACACTAGAAAGTTAAATTTTATATTTATCTACTATACKTATTGTAGAAGTTTGTAAAAAGATAATTTGTTTTATTTCTAAAAGCCAACATGAAAAATAGTACAATACTGACTAATAAATGATTAGGATTCCTGTGATAATATTTTACAWGCTACTTATTGTGATCACTTTTTTCAACTTGTGTTGCAATAGATTATTGACATATATGGATTAGCATTATTTTCTTACATTATTCATTATTTTGAAGAAACATATATTAAATTATCATATAATGTATTCAAACTGTAAAAAAACAAAAATCTGTATTAAAGAGTAAACCCTATACACCGCTATTTGATATTTTTCCTTTTCAAGAAAAATCTATGAATCATAAATATGTGTTTGTTAATAAGTAATTATAACTACAAAACCCTTTCAAAATTTTCTCAGGGAGAAAAAATCTTGTATCCAGTGCATAAACAAATTTATGTAACAAAAATATCCAAATATCTGTGAAAGTTTTATTTATTTATTTATTTTTATTTTTTATTCATTAAATAAAACAAAAATATTTTATTATAATAAAAATAAATGAATAGATCTAAATAATTAGTTAACCACTTTTACTGTATTTATATTTTATTATAATATACATCGGTATTACATATTATATCATAGGTACTTAAATATATCCAAGGCACTTAGTATCTTACATTCATTCTCAGAGCTGACTTGAAGGCAGTTTGAGCTATGCAGTGGCACAGAGCCCGCATATTAAAAATCTTTGCGACTTGTCGCCAAAATAGATTATCATATCCATGTATTTGATATTCATCTAATGAACTAGATTTATCGATATGCTTAAAAGCTTATTGTCTTTGAAGCCTCAGAGTAACACTCAAGTTCCGGTAAATTGTCCCCGCAAAACATTTCATTTATAGCCCCGATATTCATCAAGTCTCTTCTGTTCTATTATAACTTATCATAAACTATATTTGATTAATTTACAAAACTTTTGGTAAAAATTTTTTAGCCTGCTCCATATATTTGTACTAAATTATTTAAATGTCACTGATACTCATACACAGTTTCAGAAAAAAAAAAACAAACATAAGTTTTTTTACATTTCCCTAAACCTGGAATCTAATCTTAAATCTTAATTGAATGCTTTGCTAAAAAAAAAACAATATGAATTGAGATTATAAATACTTCAAGAATATTTCTACTGAATATAATTTATTTAAGGGGGCCGGAAGTGCTTAATTTCTAAGGAGTAGACAACCATAGGCAATTAGCTTAACAGTTGAAGTTGCATACTGCTATTGTGTGAGTAGTAAATGAACATTTGTATGAGTATCCAGCACGCTTCCACTACTACTCGCATATTCTATAACAGTGCAATATTCTGAGCACAAGTAGCGGTTCACACGCGCATTCATAAAGTCATTGCATTTAATGAAATGAAATATTTTGTTCTAATGAAGAGAAGTCTGACAAAAATATGTTAACTCAGAATGATCTGATTTCAATTCTGTAAAAATATTTATACTTATTGTTTTATTTATTAGGTTTTGTGGAAGTAGATTTTAGAATAACTATTTAACTTTCTTAAAAAAGACACTAAAGTAAATCTAAAAATTAAAAAAAATTAAGAAACTCAACTAAGATTTAAGATGAATTTTTAAAGAAATATTAAAAATCGATCACAATAACCTAGAAAAAAAGTCTATCAACCCAAATCATTTTACAAAATTGAAATCTGATTATTTTATTTTTATATAATCTTATCATGCTTTTAGGTCTAAAATATTAAATAGATATACTGTTTTCAACCCCCTTTAGTTACAAAAGAAAAAATAATATAACATTGAATAACTTTATTGTTGGTAATGATGTTGAATATATGTAGTATATAAAATACTATTTAGTGTTTTCTGTAAGATATCTTAACGAATACTAATATTTAGTACTTTTTATTATTTCTTAGGTGTCATTGTATGTCATGCACACAAAATATCAGCATCAGATTTAGTTGGATCTTGGATAGCATATTGTGCATCATCTCAAATTGATTCAAATAGTTTAAATAAAGAAAGGMTAGCTACATTAGTTAAATCTTTCAAGGTTGATGACAAATTAAAAACCAATGACAAGTAATTTCTCTAAGTATTTTAATAGTAGTTTTAAGTCCATAAAATTATTATTTTAGTAAATCAAATTGTCAAAAAGAAAGAAAGTATTGTTTTATGCTGTCTTGAGTTAAAAAATATATCTTTTTACTTATGTTATAAATAATAAATATCAATAACATTTATTATTTACAGGAATTTGATTTTAAATAAATCTAATATAAATGAATCGGCTTCTACACAATCAGTTCATAGTCCATCATCAATGAAAGTAAGTTATTCATTTATTATTCAACTTTATTGATTGATGATAATGACAAGACTATTGTGGTCTCTTATTTTTATTGGCCTATTGACATGGATTAAAACTATTTAGTTGTATCAAAAAATAATTTTAACATTGTTGATTAATTAGAGATACATTATTTAGAATAAACCTTATGTTTTTAAATAATTTTATAGTGGCATTCGATATATTTTACACAAATATTTTGGAGATAATATTATATAATTGACATATTAGTATTAGGTATTCTATATAACATAATATTGTAAATTATTTAATTTATATGATTATTTTGTTTTGTTTTACAATTGAAAATGTTCAATTCAAGTACTTCAATTTTGAACGTCACTAAACACTAAATAACATGATACTTAATGTCACATAAAAATAAACAATACATTTTATTTATTTTTTAATAATAATAATAGTGTKATGTAGCTGTTGTCATTTTGAAAAAAAAATTTTTGTATATTTTGACATGTCAAAATAATACATGCACAATTAAAAATGTAAAAAATGAATAAAACAAATACGAATACGAATTAATCAATTACAATGAATCATGTTACTACAACTTCAATGTTTGAAACTTACTAATCTAAAAACTAGTAAAAAAGATCATAATATTAATTTATTTAGTGAATTCAAATTTTAATATGTTAATACCTAATACACATAAAACATAAAACAAATTTTTATCTTATAAATTCAAGCAGAGGTGTATTGGTGGTATTTTTTCAATTTTAAATAGATTGATTTAATATATGTATCATTTTTAGTTAATTTGGTTGATTTTGAAGTAGSTTCATAATTATTGTAGTTTTATTTATAAAATATAATTTTACATATTTTACATAACATTTTTTAGTCATAAAATATCAATAAAGTGGCCCACATGAATATCAGCTCTTTGCTGATATAATATATGAATCTACCTATAGTATCCAGCTTAGACATAAATATATTAGTTGACCTAGTGTACCTTGTTTCCCTTTAAAAATGCCAAAACTTTATGATTCAAACTTAGTTCAAATTTGTTGTAATGGTGTTTGAAATTTAAGATTTTCATCGACCATCTTGAATCTTAAAATACTTTTGTAAGCACTACTCTAAAATTTAAATTTTGGAAAACATTGAAAATTATATGCCCTACAATTATATTAAATTATAGTCATCCCACTCACCATTACTTATGAAACTCACTTGTGATAATGTAAGCAATATATTATTAGGTAGACAATCTACCTGCTATAGGCCCCTTGATTTATGTTTTTAAGAGTATAATTTCTAACTTAAATTTTCAAAGTTATACCAAGTTTGTTGTTTCTTACTTAATCCAACCCATGACGGATTGTATAAAATTACCTATCTGATGATTTTTTATATAATTGTATGACCTAACTTGATCTCGGAAAATGTATTAATCGATATACGGCAGTATGTTGATGTAACTTGATTTTTGTTTACCTAATCCAATTCAGATTGTAATATACCAGAAACTTTTGGAGAAGTGTAATAAATAACTACCCAAAGTATTTTTGCAATCAGGTTTACATTCGCTTATATATATATATATATTATGCATTTCATGCAACATTTTTTGCCGATTTTGTTTATAATAATTTACAAATCTTACTTAGGGTGCCTAAAACCCGCCATGATAGTTTCATGGCTATTGAACAAATAGCATAAGATTGCAAGGATAAACAAACAGACTTAAATTTGATTTTGTATTATAAAAATTTATTTTTATTTTTTTAAATATAGCCTATATTACTCAGGTATAATGAAGCTTTTTGTGACAAAAAAAATTTGAATCATTTCATTAGTTTCAAAGATTACCCCCTACAAAATAATAATTTTACTTCAATATAATAATGAATATTATGTTATATCAACATTTTTTTCTCAAACAATTTATTTATTAACATTAAAATGGTTGTCTGGAAATACTAGTTTAATTATTGATAAATTATTAATTAACTGTTTTGAGAAATTGTTTATTTTTTTGGTTATTTACTAATGAGATTATATTGAAGAATTTAGTTTTAAAGTATTAAAATACAATGCCAGTTAAAGGGTTTTTTTTCATTGCTCAATGATATAAGAGCATGGAACTAAAATAATAACTTTTCATTATTATTTGAATTTTTAGTCATATGCCAAATTCATAACAATTATAAACTTAAGTTATTTGATTCTGTTTGAAATAATATTGTTATTTATTTATCAAACAGTTTAATTTAAACATCTTTGGTAGTTTAAGTTCAAAATATTTTGCAAAATTATGTATTATTGTATTTTTTTTATTAATAAAAAGTCAAGTGCTCAGGATACAGCATAGAAATAATATGTTTATTGATAATATTTAATTAAAGGTTTTTTAAATTTCTAATATATTATATACATATTATTTATTCTAATTTTACTTGACTATATAATAATTTTTATTCTTATCAACACATTATTACCTAACCATAATATACATACCCTAATGTAAGTAATATTAAAATTTATATAAATAAATAAGAATACAAGTTATTACATACTATGTTAATTATATCTGTCAATTCTTTCTGTCAAGCCTCTTATTTTTATATTAGCTAGTCATGTTTAATTTTTCATTCATTTTAAATTTAATTTTCTGATTAAATTATTATTGGTTAATTATTCTTATAGACATTTTAGTGTAAAAGTATTCATTTTATTGCTAAAAATACTATTCTATTATTTCTTACTGATACAATAACTTTTACTTGTAGATTTGAATTTTTGTTTAGGTCTTAGGAGTGTATATAATAACTATAATATATAATTCATTGGTATTAGCTGGTGGGTATGTAAAACAAAATATTCTGGCTCGTCCTGTCTTAAAAAAAGAAAAAATTTACTGTCACTATAATAAAAATTTGTAATAACTTTTTATAAAATAATATTGAACTCATAACTGGTTATAAGCACAACTTCTTTATCTTTAATATCTATTACCGAGAGCGTTTTTTGATAAAGAAATGTATTGATATTGAATTCCTTTAAGGAAAATGAGCGCCTTAAAGAGGATATAAATATTATATTCTTGTTTGGAGTTTTAGTCATGTGGTAGCATACTCTGCATACGCAGTTTGTAGGTACGTCTTTGATAATATAGTATTATATAATAAGCTGGGWACCTATATAAATTGTAAAATTTTTAATTAAATGTTCATGTTAGCGACTGTAGCTGCTGATTGTGTTTTACGGATTGTAAAATTAATTAAACTAATTTGGTAAATATTTTTTCTTTAGTACGAAAATTTAAATACCAATATACAAATAATAGTATTCACTATCGATAGTTGGAACTATGGAAGTGGTTTTCATATCATGATTACAAAAACGTAGAACCATACTTTATACAGGATTATATCATTAATATTCAACTAACCAAACAAATAATTGAATACAATTTAAATGTCATATTCTATATTCTATATTATATTGTTTTTTTTTTACGCATGGAATTCTTATGAAAATCGTGCTCTATAAATAAAATTTTGTAGTTTGTTGGTCATCACTTCATCAGTATTCACTATTCAGTATTATATTTGACTACGCGTGTCATACCGGTACGAGAGAAAAACTCTGTAAAACGTCAACCGGCTCAGCGGGCCGTAACTACCGCCAAAAAGATATTATGCCAATGGTTGTCTCGTCGAATGAAATCTGAGAAACCGAAATCGATCGAAGGTTAAATCATTATTCTATACAGACGTGTGTGTGTGCGCGCGTATTTGCCGCGTGTATCGTCCTCGTATAACATAACATCGGTTGCCGGTACCATAGTCCATAATGTATACATTTTGATTCGTGTTTGGAAATAACAATATAAAAAGACGGGTGTTTTGGCTCGTTGTTGGCTACGTAGGTACACAAAAGCAGGGTGGACGGTGTGMGCGCGCGTTTTTGTGTATAACGCGCGTCGCGCGCGATGTCCGTTCGTGCTTAGGAATGATAATAATGGTGGTGATGATGACAATAAAATAACGGGCTGTGAAAAGAAACGCTCCGTCGCGCAGGGCGCGATCATCAACTTACTATGTTTGTTGTGCATTTTTGTGCCCCTAACGTTTAAATTAAATTAGTATAGTTCTAATGTTCTATATAAAATTAGAAGATGAGTATTCAAAACACGTGGTGTTCATGATCGATTTTTTTCTTTGGTATAGGTTCATTTTACATTTAACTTATCGTTAAATTCAGTGGTACTTGATTTATTTTTATTAAATTTAATCAAATTATATTTATTAGTAGGTATGTGAAAATAAATTGAAAATTCTATTAATATCGAATTTCTTACAAAACCACAGTATGGTGGATATTTTTTATGTAATAAAGGTTACAAACTTGGAAGAAATCTTGTATTAAATTTTTAATGAATTTATAGCTTAAAATAATTTGTGATTTTTCGTGATTTTTACGTATTTTGTCAAAATTCAAACTTTTTGAATGCTTATAAAAAAATGTTGTGACCATGTATTTCTTTTATTTTATAATACATGCCCTTTGTGTTTTTTACTTCGGAATAATCTAATTTTTTGCTTTTTAATTTTAAAAATATTGSTATCCATTTTTAGATTCTGAGCGGAGCGATGAATGTATTGATTTTACCATGATGTGATTTTTTTTTGGTCTCTGTTATCATGTTTTGGGGCAGTAAAAGTGCTTCGATTTTTGACTTCAGTACCTCGTTCGATCAAAAAGTGAATCTAGTTGGTACTTTAGGGGGTCAAATGTGAAAAATTCTTAATACTTTTCTAAATAATCGAGAAAAACAAACTAAAATTTAAAAGAAAAACGGGAATTTTTACGCACACTCATTTTTCGAGAAAATCGATCTTGGTTTTTGATGTAACTTTAAAATAAATGACCATAGATACATGAAATTTTCACCGAATGTTTATATAAGTAAATTCTATTCACCATACAAATTTCAAAAATTTTCGACT